CTCAAACTCAATTCGTATGACTCTAAATTCTGTGATTTTTCTTAAAGTTAAACCTTGTCCCCATTTTTCATCATGAAACCCTCTTTTTCCTTCCTTCCTTCCTTTCTTCCTTCTTCCATTCCTTCCTTCTTCTAGTCAAGAAATACTTATTAGCCGGGCGCGGTGGCTCACGCCTGTAATCCTAGCTCTCTGGGAGGCTGAGGCGGGCGGGTTGCTCGAGGTCAGGGGTTCGAACCAGCCTGAGCAAGAGTGAGACCCCGTCTCTACTATAAATAGAAAGAAATTAATTGGCCAACTAATATATATACAAAAAATTAGCCGGGCATGGTGGCGAATGCCTGTAGTCCCAGCTACTTGGGAGGCTGAGGCAGCAGGATTGCTTGAGCCAGGAGTTTGAGGTTGCTGTGAGCTAGGCTGACGCCACGGCACTCACTCTAGCCTGGGCAACAAAGCGAGACTCTGTCTCAAAAAAAAAAAAAAAAAAGAAATACTTATTAAGTACCTACTATATGTTGAGCACTATTCTCAACCCCTGAGGAAACAAAAAGGGTACACAGTTCCTGCTTTTAGGTGGTAGAAAGGGGATATTACAATCTAATATAATGGTCATAGATAGTTTAACAAAAAAGTACAAGAATGTAGGAAGGGGGCGGGGTTGGTACCTGGCAAAATGAATGGAACACAAATGACAAAGTCCTTAACTCTTCCCATGGAAGGCTTTCTTAGAATGTAAAAGAAATCTGGAAAGTGGTAAGAGAGGGAAGAAGCATGTCAGGGAGAAAAACATGAGCAAAGGCATAAAGGCCAGAAAAAAAGTATCTAATATAGTAAGCAAACTAGCTCAGGATGACTGGAAGCCATATCAGGCATGGTCAGGATGAAGCAGGAAAATAGCCAGGAGCCAGGGCAACTAAGACCAGGTTCACAGCTTCCATGCTAAGGAGAGTGGGCTTTGTTTTATAGGAGATAGGAAACAATAAAGGTGAGTGACATGCTGAAATTTATGCTTTAAAAAATTAATTAATTGGCTTTAGTGTGAAAGATGGAACTCAGAGATAGGAAAGATGGAACTGAGAAATATGAGGCCAGAAACAGTAATCCCAACACTGTGGAAGGTAGGAAGATTGCTTGAGGCTAGGAGTTCAAGACCAGCCTGGACAACATAGAGAGACTCCATCTCTACAGAAAAAAATTAGATAGGTGTGGTGGCACGAGCCAGCAGTCCCAGCTGCTCGGAAGGCTGAGGCAGGAGGATTTGCTTGAGCCAAGGAGTTTGAGGCTGCAGTGAGCTATGATAATGCCACTACACTATAGCCCAGAGAACAGAGAGAGACCTTGTCTCAAAGAAAGTAAAAAGAAAAAAAGCATAATATTAGTTGAGACTACAATCCAGTAGTACAAAAAAAGGAGGGCCTAAATTAAGGCAGTGAAAGAGGAGAGGTAATAAATTATAGTTATTAATATTTTAGAAGCAGAATCTTAAAATGTAATGATTGACAAGAAGTGGCAGGCAAAATTTGAGGAGAAATCTAACCTCCAGACTTCTGGCTTATGCCACTGGTCACACTGCCATCAGTGGAGATGGAAAAGATGGTTTGGTTAGATAAATAATCAGTTCAGTTTTAGATAACTGAGTTAAGTTTGTGCCAGCTAAGTGGCATAAGGTAAAGATATCTTTTTTTTTTTTTTTAATTTCATGTTTCCTCCAAAAGCTCTTCTGGAAGGTAAAGATATCTAATATGCAATTAGAAACTGGGTCCTAAAACTCAGAAGAGATATGAGATTTAGGAGTCATGAGGGTGCAAGCTGTACCTGAAGATACGGGGCTGGTTCTGGTGAACCCAAGGAAGAGCATACATAGAAGAGGCTGAGAACAGAACCTTAGGGAACTCAAATATTTAAGGAGCAAAGAGAAACAATGTCAGAAAAATGAGGAATGTACTGAGTTGTAGGAAGGGAGCCAAGATAGTGTGTTTGGAAACCTAGAGTGAAAGTGAGTAATATGAACATTTATTTTTCTAGAGAAAAGTGAGATACAAGAGTATGAAGGGGCATAAATCGAAACAGTATTTCTGTGAAGGGTTTTGACAATGTGTAGTTAACAAAGGCCTCTAGGATGCCCACACTCAATGACACAGTAGTTCCAAACATTTAAGAATATATTCTAAGGAAGGAATCGGAAATTTGACAGTGGTTTATATACAAAAATGATCATCACAGCATTATTTATAATACCAACAAAATGGGAGTACTTTCAATGTATGAAAGGAATGATTAAGTTATAGTACATATCCATACAATGAAGATTATGAGCCATTTAAAAAGTATGTTGGCCAACTAACATATATAGAAAAAATTAGCCAGGCATGGTGGTGCATGCCTGTAGTCCCAGCTATTCGGGAGGCTGAGGCAGAAGGATTGCTTGAGCCCAAGAGATTGGGCTGAGATTGCTGTGAGTTAGGCTAATGCCTTGGCACTCTAGCCGGGGCAACAGAGTAAGACTATGTCTCAGAAAAAAAAAATGTTTTGGGGAAAACAAAGACAATAAATTTTATTTTCCTCTGTGAATATCAAGAGCATCCTAGTGAAAAAGTGTGAGGCTTAGAAATGAGAGAATTATTTTCCTTGAGAGAACAGAAACAGTAAAGAAAAAAATGCAAAATTAAAAGGGAAAAATAAAAATTAAATGTTAAATGTATTTTACCATAACTCAAATTTTTTCTTCTTTTTTTAGAGATAGTGTCCCATTCTGTCACTCAGGTTAGGGTACCAGTGGCTCACTACAGCCTTGAATTCCTGGGCTCAAGTGATTCTCCCACCACAGCCTCCCACATAGCTGGTATTACAGCATGTACCACCAAACCTGGCTAATTTTTTAAAAGGATTTTTTGTAGAAATGAGGTCTTGCCATGTTACTCAGGCCCAGCCCAAAAATGTTTTAATTAAAACAAAATAAATTATTCTTCATTACCCCATGCATAGTATATATGTGTACTTTCCTAAAATCCAAGATCCATTCTTTTTGAACAAGATAGTAAGAGGAAATAAAATTTTTAAAAATAGTAATGTAGATAAACTATTTCTCATAATAACATAAAGAGTATGTAAATGTAACTTGTGTTTTCCTGAAAGTTGAGATATTGTGGTATGGAAATGTTTTGTAAAAGGTTCCCAGGAAAAAATAACTAACCAAAACAAAAGGAAATGTGGAGACACAGACGTTGTGGGGGCAGCTCATGGGCTCATACAAGTTTTGACTACCTAAAGAAGAGGCTCACTATGCTCACAGAAGAGTCGCAACTCTTGAAGAAAGAAGCCTTAAAATCTAAGGTAGTAATCATCACAGGAAATATTTCAGGAAATAACACAAGCTTTGTATTTTCCCAACTTGTTAGAAGAAATGAAGATCTAAATATACCCTGTTCAAGAGCTCAGAATAGCTCCTATAAAGTAGAATTTGAGACTTCTCCCCAAACAAAAATAGGGATATTTATTGTAATTATGCCCCCACAGCCAACTTGTGTTAACATCTCATTAGTTCTTCCAGAACTGCTATATGTCACCAAGTCAAAGCCAGTGTGAAAAATATATTAAATGATTCTTCGCAAAATAGAGTTTCCAACAGGGCAATGAAAAACACAAAATAACTCCGATGAAAGTTGTGATATTATATAAAAATATGCAGATTCACTTTCAATTTGAAACCCCTAATACATTAAGAAATCCCTTAAAGGAAACTCACAGCACCATATCTACCAATCAATTCATTTCTAATGTTACAGAGCAAGTACAACAGAAATCCAATATGTTTTATATAATATTAATCAGTCATGCAAGACCTCAACAGTTTGCTTGTTGAGGTAACTACCATACATCACTTGCTTCCATTTTTAAAATATCTATTGGTGGAAATTAAGCCTAAGTAAAGAATACTGTTATTTTTTCCCAAAAATACCATTCAAAATAAGTATTAATCTAGGAAGACTGTGGTACCTGGTCTTAACCCAGAATCTAGTTGTGGTTGTTGTAAAGGGATAAAACTGCTTTTATCAAGGCTACAAGCAAACACAGCATGACCTGAACAATCTAAAAGATTCTGAGAGTTCTTATTAAATGTTCTAAAGGGTCCTCTCACCATTTAAGAGGCAAGAAAACTTCCGGAGGTAAATCCAGGGAAAAATCAAGAGCCACTATAAAATATATAGGGATATAATAAAGTTAACAACAGCCCTTGCCCTCAAGCAGCTTATATTAATAATAAAAGTCAACTGCTAGAGATAACACAAAGCAAAACAAGATTAACTGCCAGATGACTCAGAGAAAATTAGGCTATTTGAATAGTTCAAAGGAGGGAACGATCACCATGGGCCAGAATAGGCTGAGAAAGCTGCACTAAGTCAGAGAAGCAACTGAAACAGCCAGGAACAGATGGTGGTACTGATGAGGAAGACCACATAGTTATACTCCTATCCTAGTCGAGAAGGATATGGCAAAGAATGTAAATCTGCCATCTTTTATCAGCATTATGCAACTAACATGAATAAGATGGAAAAGAAATGTAACAGAATTCCAGGTTCCTGCCACTCCCAAATAATAAAGCAAGCAAGCATCAAAACCTAAACTGGGTGAAATGAACCTCAATGACTCAGCTTAGGACCAGCTAGCTATAAATGGAAGTCCTACTTAAACAAAACAACTACTAGCTTTGAATTTGCCTCTTGTGTAAGAAGGGTAATTGCCCCACATAAAGAGACATCTTCCATAGCAGAAAAACAGAAATGACAATCAAGTAGATTGGGGAAAAAAACAACCACATACAAAACCACCACAGAGCCAAGTGATCCAAATGCCACACTGCCAAATAAAAAAGTTAATTCTATGCTAAACACCTTTCCTCTGTTTTCACGTGGTTTTTCAAATGCTGAACGCATTAAGACATCATATAAAATCATACCACTCAGAAGTTCTGAAGAGTGTTGACAATGTTTCTTTTTTGTTGCGTAGGTTCTAGGGCAGAAAACTGCTTTGTCTTACTCCTGAATCAAAAGAAAGCAGAAACCTAGGCCAGAATTATTTATAGCACATATGCGAATTTACATATCAGACAATATTTTCAAAAGCAGGCCGGGCGGGAGCGGGGGCGCGGGCCCTGCGCCCTCGCGCGCCGCGTGGCGATTCCTGAGGCGCGGCCTGGACTTGCACAACGACGCCGGCGAGCTCGTGGACCTGTAAGCCGCGGAAATGCTCCGCCACAACCATCATCGGTGCCAAGGACCACGCGTCCATCCAGATGAACGTGGCTGAGGTCGACAAGGTTACCGGCAGATTCAAGGGCCAATTCAACACCTACGCCATCTGCCGGGCCATCCGCAGGATGGGTGAGTCAGATGATTCCATCCTCCGATTGGCCAAGGCCGACGGCATTGTTTCAAAGAATTTCTGACTGGAGAGAATCACAGATGTGGAAAATATACCATAAATAAATAGTGAAAACCCAAAAATAATAATAATAATAAGTTCAACCTTCTCCCCTTCCAGGCACAATCTCCTAAAGTTTTCTCAGCCTTATCTGAAACCTCTCAACCAAAGAACCACTCAAAGAAAATTTCACAGTATACCAACTAATAATTTATAGCCAAATCAACACACCCTGGCTCTAGTCCAGAATAAATTACTAAAAGATTCTTTATTTGCAACGACTCTCCTCTCCTCTTATCTTTGCTAATCATCTCATATTTTCCCCCCACAGATGAATCAAAGCTAAGATTCTTCCAAATATCCCATATTCATGCAGGATCTTTCAGATCAAAATCATGTCAGCTGTACAGTGAGACTACAGCAATTCACAGCATGGAAAGAGAAGAATCTGACTCTTTAGGGTGTAGTTCAAAAGAAAAAGCATAATTAATAAAATAAAACTTATCTGGTAAATAAAAAGATATCTATCATCTTAATATTATACACACCAAAAATAAGTTCAACAATGAGAAAATAATCAGAACAAACCCCACTTAAAACTAACTCAGGCCGGGCGCTGTGGCTCACGCCTGTAATCCTAGCTCTTGGGAGGCCGAGGCGGGCGGATTGCTCAAGGTCAGGAGTTCAAAACCAGCCTGAGCAAGAGCGAGACCCCGTCTCTACTATAAACAGAAAGAAATTAATTGGCCAACTGATATATATATATAAAAAATTAGCCGGGCATAGTGGCACATGCCTGTAGTCCCAGCTACTCGGGAGGCTGAGGCAGAAGGATCACTCGAGCCCAGGAGTTTGAGGTTGCTGTGAGCTAGGCTGACGCCACGGCACTCACTCTAGCCTGGACAACAAAGTGAGACTCTGTCTCAAAAAAAAAAAAAAAAAACTAACTCAGTTCATTGCAGGCTTGCTACTAATGTATGATGTTCGTAGTGCATATTAGGTGCAAAGAACACTAGAGTCGTTACCAAATACCATAAATAGACATGTTTCTGTTCTCAGATTATAATTTAGTTTAGGTAATTTTTATTTAAAGATAATATTTTTATTTAACAAATAAAGCAATTTTGTGTTTATTTCAAAATATTATAAAAGGTGGTAAGGCATAAGATTTTTATAATTATCAAAAGGGGAGATGAAAGCACTGAAAATCACCAATCTCAATAACTACAGCCACAAGCTGAGTAACACATCCAACATCACCTACAGAAGGTGTAACTGACCAAATAAGGAAAATGTTAGAACCTGGTGCTTTGCACTCCTAATCTAGTGCTCACTTATTTGCTGTGAAATAGAGAACAAATAAACTGAATTCTGGACTACCATCTTTCCCAAACTAGAAGATAAAGTATGGTGAAGTAGAGAGAAAGAAAATCATAAAAAGCAGACCTATTTAATACTTTGACTAAACCCTGAAGGTCCAAGTTCAAAGGGCATGTTTTTTGAAAAGAGATAAGGAGAGTTCATTTCACATTAAGTAAAACCTATTGTATTATAAGTAACATTTGTTAAGCACTTTATATATAGTAGGCACTATGTTAAGTGCTTACATGATTATCTGATTTAAGCCTCACAAGGACACTAAAGGAGTTACTATTATTTTAATAAGGACAAAAGTGAGGTTTGGAACAATTAAGAAACTTGCCCAAACTGCTAATAAATGAAGAAGCTGAAACTCCCATCCACGTCTTCCTGATGATTCCCAAGCCTGGACTCCTACCACCATTTCTTCAACAAGGATTGCAGCAGCTTCAAGCATAGCAATGAACTAAACACGATGACTAAACACATCTCCCCACACACTCATCTCTACTGCTCCTCCAACCCACCTGAATCCTTGCTAATTGTTCTTAGTCATTGAAAACATTACATGGCTAGATAAATGTCAACTTTAAAAAGGGTAAAAATAAAGTACCTTACAACCTTGAGCCACAGCTGATGAGCCTCTTTTCTAAAGCCTTGTCTGCTCACTCATTTCAAATACTGAGTGCCTACTACAGGAAGCCATATTGTGTAGTGATAAAGAGAAGAAGACTGCTTAGGTTCAAATCCTGGCTCCATCACTTACTTAGTGTGTGACTTTGAGTAAGTTACTCTACTTATCACTACATTAATCATATGAAGCACTTAGAATAGTGGCTGGCACTTAGTAAACAATAAATGTTAGCTGGTATTATTACTGTGTTATAGTATCATTGCACAATGGTTAAGCTAGGAGCTGGTATGGTATTCCCCGTCTTTTGAAGCTCACAATTTAAGACACGTACATACATAACCACAAACCAAACTATAAATAATACTATAGGTATTAGTAAATAAATGCTACAGATGTGCTGACAAAGAAGAGGATTACTACTAGCTAAAGAGATCAGAAAAGGTCTCATGGAAAAGGTGCATCTGAGCTGAGCCATAATGTGAAGGTAGAGGAGAACACTCCAAGTATAGAATATAATTATGAAATAGCAAAGAAAGAAACTGAACTCAAGTGAAGACATACCATGGAAGAGTGGTGGTGAATAAACCTGGAAATGTAGGTAAGATGATCAAATGTAGACCAGATTATCAAGAAATCAGAAGATCCAAATAAAGAGTTCAGATATAAATACCATAACTGTATTCTATATTCTTTTCTTTTTTCTCTTTTAATTGTATAAATTTAAGATAGACAACACATTCTGATATACATAGTGAAATGCTTACTACAGTCTAGCACATTAACATATCCATCATCTCACATATTTACCCCCCCCCCTTTTTTTAAAGCAAGAGCACCTAAGATCTACTTACTCTCTTAGCAAAAATTCCCAATACAATTTTTTGGTTTTTTTGAGGCAGTGTCTCACCTCTCACCCTGTTGCCCAGGCTGGAGTGCAGTGGTGTGATCATAGCTCACCACCTCCTCCAACTCCTGGCCTCAAACCATCCTCCTGCCTCGGCTTCCCCAAATGCTGGAATTACAGGCATGAGCCACTGAGCCAGACCAATGTTATTAACCATAGTACTCATACTGTACATTAGATCTCTAGAATAGTATATTTTAAAATGTAAGCCAGTATTAATATTCCCCAAGTGGAATACACACACAGAAATTTAAAAAGAGAGAATTTTCCCAATGTGGGGGAGAGGAGGTTTTGGGGGGAATGATGTAAGAGCAGGAAAAAAATTACCAAAACAAGTCAGAGAAGACGTAGAAGCAAGCTGAGCTTTGCAGGTAATGCAATTATATATACCAGCTTTTCTCAAACTGTATGGTGGTAAAATTAATTTGAGAAAGCCTTCATGCCCACCCCCATCTGTCCCTTCAGGGATCCACAAGGCACACTGGTATTTTGAGACCTCTCAAACGTCCTATAGTAAAGAAATTGACTAATTTTGTTTACTCTGTATGTTCCCAAACTTATTTAGTAAAAGAATACTTTTCCTCCTAGAACATATTAATATATTTAAACATTGAGGAATACTAGTGTTCTAAAGAACTCATTCTATACCTCATTCTCACATCTACATATGTTTGGTTTTTAAATTTCAGTAGCTGTATACCACTCCGGCCTCTAACTATTTGTGTTTCGTTCTAACCTGTTAAGTTGTGCTTGCTAGCGTATTTCACATTTCAGCCAATGAAATCTAAAGAATGTAAATGAGAACAAACATGTAGAACCTGTCTGTAAATTGGTTTGCAATTCAGGAGACTGGAAGTAGCTCTTTAGAGCACTGTGGGTTTAGTGAGAGAGTGCTTTGGTGGATGGGCAGTGTCTACTATGGGGCAAACATGTGGAAACTGCATTTCTAATGTCATCCATGGTATTAGTTATTAGCAGTTGAACATGTTCTCTGGTCATAATGGAAGTCCACAGACTCAAAATGGTAATTTGAACAGGGAGCTGGGAGAAATAGAGGACATGAGTACACTGGACTAAAGTGAGCCAGTAAAGCGAAGAAAACATAAGGGAAGAATAGAGAATGGAAAATGGTAGACTGGAGAGAAAAAGATGAAAACGACATTTAAAAACGAGTAAGGATAAACAGGGGAAAATACTTTGTGAAATCCTTGGGTGTCTTTGGACAAGGAAATCAGAAGTTAATTCAAGCTGTATTATTGCCAGAGGATGGTCTTAAAAGTTTTGTTGTCAAGACTCACGCACGATACTCCTTTCGTTGGTTTATTTGCCACTTAAGATAAAACAAAATAAAAGAGACTTCTAGAGTCTCTCCAGAGATGTCACTATGCAGCTACATCCACATGTGTCTAGTTTTTAAATGTCAGCATCTGCATTAAAAGCCCTTGAGACATAGTATAGGTCTTTGCCAAAATATATCAGAACCACAATCAGGAATCTTTCTATAGTTAACCCACATTAAGGATGAATAAAGACAATGAGGATAAACTGTAAAACAATTTGGAGACATTTTATCTTCCAGAAATCTTTTCTCCACACTGACTACCTGAATGCTTTCAGCAAGTATTTCATTGTGATTGCTTCTTGAGCTGGACTTCATCTAAATATGAGTAATAATCCTAATAAAGAAAAGACAACTGGCTAAAATGTTAAAAGGTCAAGCTCTCCCTTAATATAATTAATGTCTTTCCTTCTCTGCCCAACTAAGATTGTGGAGTGCAGTAACATGAAAGAAAATATAAGACTCATTCAATGATGGCACATAACTAAGCCAATTAAGAGAAATTTTAAAAACTGTTTACTTAGTAGATGCCAAATTCTATAAGGAAATTAACTGTTGATGTAATTATGCAGTTTTGCATTTCATTAGCTACCATTGAAGATTATGCATTGTGCAACAATGATATTTGTTGAGCCAATAAAGTCGAAAACTATGGTCAGAAAGTTTTAAGTCAAAAACTACAGTCAGAAAGTTTTAGATACCCCTTAAATCAGTAAATCTTTTCTTCCCTTTTAAAACCAAAATAAGCCCTAAGAATTCCCAAAACAGCTTCCATATTCAAATTACAAATTATTAATATTTACTTGACCAGTTTCCCTAACCCGTGAAGTACACAAACACAGTAGTTTTT